TCTGTCCTTGGTGCTTCCGGCCCCTGAGGGTGTACCCTGCCACCACAAGGAGTCATTGAAAGATTTGTATGTTGACAAAACAAATATTGTCACTGTTTTCCTTAATAGTTCAACCCTTATCTCTGTAAATTCATAATATAGTAAGTTTTTTATTTTATATGGGTCTTTAAGGAGACTGGGATTTAAAGTATAAAAACAAATCTAAAATCTAAAATACTATATTTTAAAACTTTATCAAATCAAATAAATCTTCAAGTATTTAGACTCTAAAGTTTAGAATACCTCAATATTCTTGAAAATGTATAAAGTTTGCAATTTTTTTGTGTTTTCCTTTGAACATCCCCATTACATAATAAAAATCAGTTGCCAGTTTCCCTTCTGATCTTTATGCAAGAAAGAGCATAGACCACATGTAGTGGGGGCAAGTGCCCCCTGAAATTGGCCACTGCCAGCTTCTGTGACTGGTCGCTGCTCACCACCCGCCCCTCATTGCTGTCAAGGCTGCTGCTGTGTCTGTGGGTGGTTCTTGCTTGCTGACACTAATGCTGGCGTCTGCGGGCAGTCCCTGTTCACTGCCATGGTGCTCCCCATGGTCTGAGGAGGCACCAGACGTTCATGAGAAGGAGCACAATGTCCAGAAAAACTAAATGTGAAGCTAACAGTGAGGAATGTTGTTCCAAACTAGGCATTGTGCCCAGTAGGGGTGTGTTCTGTAATACTTTTCCTAGTACTTTTTAGTTAAATTGTGCTGCTGACAGTCACTTCTAATGATTGGTCTCTCATTACTACTGTTTTTGACAAGGTGGTAGCCTAGTTGGTAAATTCATCAATGAGAAACACAGTTTCTTTCTATGGAAAGAAACTTTTAGGCTATTGGGCAAATAAAATTAGAAAACTATTTTTATATGAATCTATTATGAATTTAAACCTTACTATGGTTTTAAAATTTGTACTCAGAAAAAAAACAACAAGTAAGTTCAGGTAAAACAGTAAGTTAAGGTTAAAATGTCAGCTGCCTCCTGAATATGGAAGTATTTCTATGCACATGGTCTATTTTAATGGTAACATAGGTTTCTCTTGTATCCAGTGAAGTAGAGTAAAAGAAACATGAGTATTACTGAGGCCTCATCTACATGTTACACTTTAAAGCATGATTAACTGGTTAATCACGCCTTAAGTGATCACCCAGCCAAACGTTCAATCAATTTAATGGTGTGATAAAAAGAGAAATAAGGTACAAAATTATTCTACAAAATATGCATAACAACTTTGTAGTTGCTTTCTTATGTTATTACTTGTATGTGTGGCCAGGAGTCCCTGTGGCTGGGAGACCTCAGCTGATTGGAGCTCCCCATTGGGTTGGCCCATGGACATCCTGGAGCCTGGTAGCTGATAAGTCTCCCAGCTGTGGGCAAGAAGGCATGATGCAGTCTGATTTGCAGCCCCACAATTGTGCCTCCTGCCATGTACTTGTAGCATGGCAGGATGTGTATTTGTGTGGATTGTGCATTAGATCCCATTGTGCCTTACCTGCGCTTCTAGAGGTTCCCTTAGTTGCCAATGTAGAATATTGGTGTGAACTTTGACATTACTTTCATGTAGGGAATATCTGATTTACATTAATTTTATATCATGAATCTTGGTCTGTATAGCCAACCTTTACTTCTAAGGTAGAAAAACATCTAAAAAATTCATTATTCATCCTGCTACAAAACTGAGTTCCCCCAATATAAAAAATAAATCTGAATAAACTGTATAGCCAACTTAAAATAACCGCTGGAATAAGGTACGAGGAATTTGGAAGATTATTCCACAGATCTTCAAAGTGCAGGGGTATACAAACCAGCAGCCTGGAAGGTACACTTAAAGAGAATGGACCAAATAGAAGAGGAATTGATTTCCTTATAGCTACTTTGCTACTCTGAGTAAATGATCCTACTTACAGTCTGAATTAAAAGAGTTTTTTTTTTTTTTCCTAGCCTTCATTTGAAGGATCAGGGCTCCTGGAAGAAATTAATTTAACCATGTGATGAGATTTGAGAGAGAGATTCCAAAGTGTTTAATAGTTGGAGATCCTAATACTGGCATTATTTGGTATAGCTATGCTGAATTTGGTTCAGCTTACAGTTTGCAGCTAATGAAAATCTTTCACACAATTATGATACTTTTTTAACCATCTAATTTGGTCTTGATACCTTAGCTATACTTGCTACCATATTTATTCAGTTCTAATATGAGATGCCCCCATTTAACATGGGGAGAGCCCCTCAGCTTAGATTCAAGTATGAGGGCTCAGGGGGTGGGTGGGGAGGTGCTGCTGTGGCTTGGGCTTCAGCCCCTGCCTGCCCTTCCCTCCCTTGCTGCCTGTACACCCTCCCCCAGAAGTACAGGTAGCAGAGGCAGAGTGGGAAGTGGGTGTGAGCAGGGTTGCCAGGGAGCAAGCATAAGCAAGGGGCAAGCTGCTTGACCTTTTTTCTCCCCCCACTGCTTGCCCCCCTGCAGTAGTTAGGAGAATGGATTAAAGATGAGACCCCCCCCCCCCCCTAGTTAGATGTTGTACATGGAATAATTTTTCCATGAATAAAATCTGATTATTGGGGTGTTGTTTTGAATTCAGGGTCATCTTAAATTTGAGTAAATCCAGTAGTATACATCACACTTTAAGTGGTAAGGCTACATTAGTTCCACTCTACTTTTATACTAATGTAGAAGTGGACAAGCAAAACATTTGTATCAATTCAACTGACATGCTTCCAATTATAAGCCTTCCTTTAAAACTGGATATTGTTTAAAACTGAATATTGTTGCAGCTGTCCACAGCTTCAGATTACAAGTACTACAATGACATTTGAAAGTAGCCCCTGAAAGAAGAGTTAGGGAATTCAACAAATGTGCATAGCTTCGTAAATGCTAATTTGATTCTAGGAAAAAAGAATGGGGCTATTTTAGTTTATCTTTAGGTCTCCAGTAAGTGTGGTTCCTACATTGTTACAATTAATGGAGAGTGGTATCAAGTTAAAACTGTTCTCTCTGGAATGCCCCATTTCATAATTTTAAGATTCCTATATACTTCTGTATGTTGCTTGATAGTTCTGTATGTATTGCCCTGTATTACTGGCTGGGTCTAATTTCATTTTATTTAATGATGCACAGGAACATAAATTTACTAAACTTGTTAAAATACTGTTTGTCCTATCTACAATCTCATCTCTATTTTATGTACTTAAAGATGATAATGAAGTAAGTACAGCAAAAAATAAAATACTTTAGGAATTAACAAAAAATTAAATCCAATAAAAAGTAAAGCAGCATGGAAGTGAAAGGTCTCTTTCCTATGTGCACAGAAAAGAAGACATCCGTTGCATCACAAATCAGTTGTTGACTCATACAAGATACATAAAAAAAGCCAAAACCCCCTCAAACAAGTCCTACTCCCCAAAGTCTATATATACTGGAAACAGATGCTTTACATTTGTTCTAATTTAGGCGTTCATGGGTGCATCTACATGAGACACTTAATGCGCAGAAGACTAACTCTACTTCGCATTAGCACAGTGGGAAAAACCTGTGCTAATGTGCTGATCCACAATAATTGGCTAATGCGTATTAATATCATTAAAAGACATTAATCTGCCCTAATGTTCATTAGTGCTAATTACAGTACATTAAGTTAGTACCTATCATTACAGATACTAGACTTCGGCACATTAATGAATGTGTAGCTGCATCCCATTACTATTGCATGTGTTGCATTCAATTTTAACAGAATTTCAGTTAAAAGAAATGTAGTTTATGGTCCTGAAATCCTGACTCTTCTACCTGGTATTAAAATAAGATATACCATTTAGGACAAAGATAAAAAACAAAAATGTGTATTTCTTGCTCAGTATCCATACTTCCCGTAGGAAAATGCCTTAATAAATGGTTGTAACACAATTTCTGTGATGCTGTAGTATCTCAGAATTCTTAATTTTTATCATTCATTAATAAAAGAAGTATAGAGTGCTGATAATATACAGCTCCTCAAATTCAGCTTTTACAAATTTGTTTAATCTTTCATTTGGAACTTGAATAAGAAGTAATATACTTATCTGAATTTAATTTCATCCAGTTGATATTTCTGAGCAACAGGGAGGCGAGCAGGATATTATTTGCTAATATGGTTTACAGGCTGTGGATTCTCCTGAATTCTTTCCTGGTCTTAGATTATCACGTAAAAGCAATGATTTGATATATTTTTCAAACTTCAGCTGGACAGCCATTCATAATTGCTCATCATTCTGTTGGTTCCAGTTGTTTCTAGATTTTAATTGCAATTCATTTATAGAACTGCAACACAGGAGTTTCTTTGAATTGAACACTGTGAATTGAATTGATTCAGCTATTTTCCTCAAGCTTTTGCTTTGAAACCAAACATTATAAAATCTTAAGTGTAAAAAATATTTTATATCACTTTGTCTATGGAGTTTTTAGATTGTCTAGGCTGATCTACATCTTGGCTTTCATGTACTTATTTTTTTCCCATATGTCATTTTTATCTTGTCATACACTGAAAATAAAACTGATCTACTACAAAAAATACTAAGTATTTGTATTGGATGATTCCATCAAATGTTTTTGGCCAAAAAGCTCTAATTAGGACTATGATTTAATCAACTATCTAATGTAACTTTATTGTTATCTCCTTACACTGTCTTAATAATGACCTAGGTATTTGTATAAATTGGCAAGTGGAATCATTCAACAGAGGGAAGCAGAATTAGATGTCACTGTTTAATGGAAATACGTGATTAAAGTATTTGACATCCATGTTTTATGCAGATTCTGGTAAATTAATTCATTTATAATTATGCTATAAATTATGACAGATCCCTTTTCCAATAGTAAAATGTGGAACACAAGGAGCAAGAGAGGCTTTCAGTACTGCCCTTTTAGCTTTGAAATATACTGAAAACTAAGAAATACTGCAGCATAATTTTTATTCATGTTATCTGTTGTAGGTAGCTTGTATGCAGCTCATCAATGCTCTTGTTACATCTCCTGATGATTTGGATTTCAGGCTTCACATAAGAAATGAATTTATGCGCTGCGGATTGAAAGACATATTGCCGGCAAGTGTCCTGTTTTTAGCGTTAAAGTTTCAATTATTTGGCTACCTGAGTTGGGGGAGGGAAGAAGTATATAAAATGCTTCATAGAATAATGTGTCGTTTGAATGTGTGAGGCTTACAATTTCTCAAAGATGATTAAAAAAAAAAGAATAGTGTGTTAAATCCTCTCTTCTGTTAGCTGAATGATATAGAATAGAATGTTATATAGATACTAGCCTTTTCCCTGCCTTATTTGTTTTATTAAATATTTAATGTAGAATAACTATCATAATGGTAATGTTACTGTAAGAAACATCTAGGGAAGTTACTCAAAATGGATGATTGTTGCATGTGCAATTACAAGTTTTGTTATACCATCCTACTATCTTTTCATCACAGCAATTGAAATGTATAAAAAGTGATGCCCTGGATATTCAATTGAAAGTGTTCAATGAGCACAAAGAAGAAGACATGATTGAGTTCTCTCATCGTTTAGAAGATATTAGATCTGAACTAGAATATCCTTTTAGAAGTAGAGAATAAAGTATGCACAAATAATACTATACTGTATAACAGAATCTTGGTTGTCAAATTTTATGTAAGAAAAATATTTTTTCCGTCTTTCATTCAGACCATTGACTTAAATGTTTTCTTTACTGTAATTGAACAGTAAATTTCATTTTATTACAATTTTTATGGACCCAAGTATTCCTGAATTCTAAGCTGTAAATAGGAGTTCCTGTTTTCTTCTCCTTAACCTTTTTACTGAAGTAAATGATGTTTACAACACAGTATGGAACACAGTTAAGGACACCAAGGCCGAAGGATATTTTCTTTCTATTCTTCAGCATCTTCTGTTGATACGAAATGACTATTTTATACGGTATGTGAAAGTTCTGGTAAATAATAACTCCTGAATTTAGTTAAGCCATCCTGAATAGTAGATTGTTTCATTGAAAATTGTCCGACTAAATCAAAATAAAATATCAGGTTATATGTGTGCTTATTGCACCAAAGTTGTAATGCTGTCCACATAACATTCATAGTTTCTCAAGATTACATGAAGAGGAATAAGTTTAAACAAGAAACTGCTTTTATAATTTGTTTTTCTATTAGTACGCAATCCTGTTTTATTCTGAAGCTCTGTCCATGTTGAGATCTGAACTGTATTCAACTGCCCATGTTGCCTAAAATGCATTATCAATACAAAATGTATAGTTCCTTTGCTTACTGATCATGTAAATCATGCTACAAATATAGTTCAAATAATAGGGATAATAATAGACTGATGCAACCTGGAATCTACAAGTCCTGATGCACATTGGATTTATTACATTGGTATGGTTCCACTGAACATCTCATTCAGGCATTCACAAATTAATTTTTTAGTATTTTTTTTTTTTTTAAGCCTCCCTCAAACTGAGTAGCAGTTAACATTTGTATTAAGGCTGCCAAAATACTACTTTGTGGTTTAAAAACCTTGAGGACCTTTAAATACATTTGTTTACAGCAAATTTTTGGAGTTGAGAAAGCAGCTGGGTGAAACAAAAGCCTTTTCTTTCTTCAGTTTTAGCTGAGTTACAAACTTGTGAAAAAATCTGTTTTTCTTCCTTCACTTGTATTATTCAGAGAAAAATATGAATATTCTGAAGAGCTAAGCCTGTGCCACATATAAAACAGCTTATCCAGAATGGTTGAAGAGGGAGGTTTTAGTCTTCCTTAGAGTGAAAATTTGGAGATAAAAGCTTTGTTGTTTTCGAGATGCTGAAATAACACTGCCATGCCATGCCACTCATAAAATACAAGAAGAAATGCATCATTTTATATATTTTTAGCCTTTGGATGGTGCATAATAAATTCGATATGGACTGGTAATTGAATGATGAGGATAAAATATGCAATGGTTGCATCATTCCATGAGCATTGTTCTTCAAATTTAGCATAGTTTCCTTGATACTATATTAAACAATGTTTACATCATGTTGAAAAGAATATCTCATGCCCTGGGTTTTGACCTGATAACTTTTTTTTTCTTTCCTTATTTGTATCCATAGAGTCTTTCCTATTCTGTGCTTCCTTGTGCCCAAACAACAGGGAGGTAAAGGGTGCTGCATACTCAATACTCCTTAATTCCTTTCAACTGCATGCTTAGAAATAGGAACTTGGAATCTCTCTTTGTGAGCAGTGAACCTCCATATAAATGTGTTGGAGCTCAGAGGAGTATAGAAGACATTCATGGCCTTTCTTCACTGCATTCAAGTGTCATGTCCAGATCACAGTGGACAATTTTACTGCAGTGTTTGAAATCAACATGTAGCCAGAGATGCTAAATGCAGTGAAATGGTCCATTTATCTCAAAGATGCATAGACCACCTGGTATATCTTTCAATGCTGCTCTTAGTCTCTAGAACACCTTTGGAGCCTGGTGAAGAAGAATGAGCTCCTTATTACAAGTAGCAGGTCAAGAGATTGGTATTCAAGCCCCATGTGTGGAGTCAGGTCACCTGACTGTCAACCTTTTTGAACAAGGTAGACAAAAAATGGCCTTCCTTTGGCTCTATGGGCTTTTGCCTGTGTTTGCTCTACCATTCACGGAGCCTTTTATTATGCATTCTGATCCTGCAAGTCTGCTGTGAGGTGACCTAGGACTTGCTTCTAATAACATTGATAGCATCTGCATGGCTGAACCTTTTCGCAAAAGACTTCAAGATGCTACTGATGATTTCAGACTTGCTAATGTATGGATCTTGTATCTTGTAGACTGGATGCTGGGTGGCTTTTCTTGCATAAAGAGCAAGAATGTTCCTTCAAATTTAGAGGCATTCATGGCCATATTGTGAACTATTTTACTAGACATAAATACTTGGCAAAATGGGTCAGGTGTTTGACTGATTCTGGGTAAAGAACACTAACCTGGTCAAGTCTACTATACCAGAGATGTTAGACCAGATGTGCCAACCTGTGGCATGAGTGCCACAAGTAGCACAGGCAGCCACTGTATATAGCATGCAACAGATTGGGGAGGGGCAGATGGCAGAGCAGGAGGTCAGGCAGAGGTCACAGAATAAGGTTCAGAAAACATAATGGTAGACCAGGCAGAGGAAAGGGAAGAAAATGGTCTTCAGAGTGCAGGGCTAATTTGGCATGCCTGCCAAAAAAGTTGGCACCCACTGTATTAGACTATCTCTTGATCCTGAAGCATATTGACCTTTCTATCAGCTCAGTTGAGATGCTGCTGGCACTACTTGTGGAGAGATGGTATGACTTTAGCAAGGCTTTTGATATGGCCTCCCACAATATCCTCTTAAGTAAGCTAAGGAAGTACAGGTTGGATGGACTGTAAAGTGGATAGAAAACTGGCTGGATTATTATGCTCAGAGGATAATAGTCAATGGCTCAATGTCTGGTTGGTGGCCGGTATCAAGTGGAGTGTCCCAGGGGTTGGTTCTACGGTCAGTTTTGTTCAATATTTTCATTGATTACATGGAAGATGGCATAGAGTACACCCTCAGCAAGATTGCAGATGATACGAAGCTAGAGGGAGAAGTGAATGTGCTGGAGGGTAGGGCTAGGATTCAGAGAGACCTTGACAAATTGGGGGATTGGACCAAAAGAAATCTCATGAAGTTCAATAAGAAGTGCAAAGTCCTGCACATAGGATGGAGCAATCCCACGCCCCGCTACAGGCTGGGGATTGACTGGCTAAGCAGCAGCTCTGCAGAAAAGAACCTGAGGGTAACAGTGCACAGTAAGCTGAATATGAGTTGACAGTGTGCCCTTGTTGCAAAGAAGGTTAACTGCATACTGAGCTGCATTAATAGGAATGTTGCCAGTAGATCAAGGGAAGTGATTCTTCCCCTTTATTTGGCACTGGTGAGGCCACGTGTGGAGTACTGAGTTCAGTTTTGGGCCCCCTCAGTACAGAAAGGATGTAGATAAATTGGAGAGAGTCCAGCAGAGGGAAACATAAATGGTTAGGGGGCTGGAACCGATGACTTTTGAGGAGAGGCTGAGAGAACTGGGCTTGCTTAGTCTTCTCTTCTCTAGACTGAGCGGGAATTAAAAAGCAGCCTTCAACTACCTGAAGGGTGGTTCCGAAGAAGATGGAGCTAGACTGTTCTCAGTAATGGCCTCATGTTGCAGCAAGGAAAGTTTAGGTTAGATATTGGGAAAAACTTTCTCACTAGTTAGTAAAACACTGGAACAGGTTACCCAAAGAGGTTGTGGATCCTCCATCCTTGGATGCTTATACACTAATATCTAGTAATAGCAATGGGCAGTATATAATGTTTTTTGGCATTATTTTTACTGTTTTACAAGATTTAGCAATTTTGCAACATTTAACATTTTGCTTCACCTGTATCTGTGAAATTATTAAAGTTAGGAGTCTTTATCAGAAGAATCAGGTAAGTTTACATCATGGAGCATTTTCAACTATGAGGCATAATGATATATAATATTATTTAAATGAGGACTGTGAGAATGCAGGCATTTGAGTTGTAGAGTGCAGAATACAGAATTATATACAGAATAATTATATAGAAACATTGTTTTTTGACAGTTAGATGATCCTGTTCTCTGTAACCTGTTGTGCATGCATTCCTGCTTAATGAACAGTCTGGTACCTGTTATGGCACCAGAGGTGGAAAACTTGTGCTTAGGGGTCTGGAGAAAACACCTGCTCCCTTCATTATTCCCTTTCTTGGCATCTTAAATGTTCACAAAAGTGTTTGTTTTATAAGTCCTCATCTAGAAATTCCACGTGGCAAACTGCAAAAAATGTTTGCCCTTGAACATATAATACATCTATGAGCTGAGTCACTTGAAATGCTTTGGACAATTTTGAATAGCTTTTATTTAACAATAATGTAAGTATGAACAAACAAGTGAAAAAAGTTATAAAAATGATTTCCCTCTTTATATTTAGACCGCAATATTTCAAATTAATTGAAGAATGCATCTCCCAGATAGTATTGCATCGAAGTGGAACGGATCCAGATTTCACATATCGTAAAAGATTAGATGTAAATTTCAGTCACTTAATAGGTAAGTATTGGTTTAAGAAACACTTACTGTCATGTATTTTTTTTTTAAAAACAAAAATTTTAAATGTTACATAATACTGTGAACCTTATAATTTTGATTTTTAGATACTTGTGTAGATAAAGCAAAACTAGAAGAATTTGAAGAGAGAGCTTCAGAACTGTCCAAGAAAGTAAGTAACTTTCAAGTTCTGTAATCATGATAGTTTTTACATTTTAAGAGACTATTTTCATAAAGAAACCTAACAGCACATTTTAGCTTATTTAATAATGAGGAAAAAAAAGCAATAGAAAGCAGAGAACTTTACATAAAATCACTTAGGCTGTGAAAAAGTGCTTTACCAAACAAAGCAGCACATTAGTTTCACCCATCTCTGCAGTGTCTGTGTAGATCGAGTGTTTCAGCGGGGCTTCTTGAAGCTTTTATCTGATAGCTGTTTCAATCAGCTATTACATAAGTGCCAAAAAAAAGTCCTGGTAAAGCTCCCGATCTCTACAGACATTGGGGTGGGGATGCCTTCTCTGGGGTGTGTGACTGACTTGGATTGTTGTGCGTTAATAA